TATTTTTCCTTGGCTCCGTTCCACTGTCCATTTTGTGTACCATACACAAGCTGTACATAGATACCCATATTACAAAACTGTATAAGGAAGAAACCACATTAGGTATTCCCCATCCCATGTGCCATTCCCACAAAAATATTTCCAAATGCATCTTCTGATTTTTCTTCCAGGTATGTCCTTATTTAGCAATAAGTAAGAATAAACCCCAAGCAGACCAATGACCAAAAACCCATCCTCAAACACAGACACAACGTTTCATCCCCCGGTTGATGGAAGAATGAGAGCACGTTTCTCTTTTGTTCTGTAATCTTGGCTAAACATTCTTCTTGCAGTTTCTCCTTCTTGGGACGAAGGTGGGAACCTGGTGGTCTCCTCTTTCCACAATGTTCTTTCCTAGAGGCCAGAGACCACAGCTGTCCAGTGCTAACTGCCATGATCTACCGAAGATCGTGTTCCAGGAAAAGCATCAGGAAAGCTCAGTTTGCAACATGTTCAACTTCCTTCTTGGCTGCCACGTAAGCCTGACTTTAAGTGCCTGGGATTTGGGGCCAGATCTTCTGTGCCAGAGGATATGGCTCTGGCGTGACAGCACCCTTTTTAATTTAAACCCAAGTCAAAGCCTGGATGTAACCTTTCCAGTGAGATGGGTGCCAAAGATATTAGCATTTTGGTTCGTGTCACAGGGTAGAATGGTTTATAAAAAGACCTAATCTTTAAACATATGAACTGCGAGGTTTTTTTCTGTTTTTTCCGTACTCGCTGAATTCACAATATGGCAAAAGGCAAGAGGAGGAGGTTTTTACAGGGAGGCGTTTCGGTGCAGCGCTTAATCCGAGCTTCGCCTTGGAACCTGGGTTTAATCGTCGGCTTGGAGTAGGCGAAATAAGAAGAACGGGGCACGGTGGTTCAGCTCCTGCCATAGACACCTGCCAGGCTCTCTGTGGCAGCGCCAGCCCTCGGGGCGCTTGGCTCCGGGAGGTCTGGCTGGCCCAGCCCTGCTCATATTCCAGAAAGCCTTAAAAGGATGGCTGTTTTCCCAGCCTTATGGGTCAGGAGGTTGCAAGGAGCCCATGGGACAGTGGTTATGGGTGCAATAATTGTTTTCTCAGCTGCCGTGATATGTACAGTGCGATGACTGGTTGCACATGCACACTCACACACGTGCACAAATGCACAACTACTTTGGCTGCAAAGAAACAGAAGACTATCCTGCCATCTGGTGGCCTCCTAATTTTTTGCAAGCCAAATGCAGTAGCCAAAACGCATAATTAGGTTTTTTAAAACAGTTTCCTTCTTCTTTTTTAATTAATTGCATTTACACAAGTCTGCTCCTCCCCTTCTTAATCCCCCAGCTTCTTTCCCACGCGTTAAACCTTTGCGGAGGCTCTACAAAACCACCTTGATTTCTGCGCCCCAAACAGCCGCCAGGGGGCAGCAAAGCGACGCAGGAAACCGCTGCCATCTAGTGGCCGAGGCAATATTTGCAGCCTCGGCCTGGCAAGTCTATTTAAACGCAGGCACGAATGAAATGCATTTAATTAATTGCCTTCATTAGCTCCCCTTTTTCGTCCTCTCCCATTCACAGTCCATCGCATGCACCCCCGAACAGCGGGGGATTTGCTTCCGAGTAGACCTACTGAGCACCGCGCCTAAACCGTCTAATAAATCCCAATGGACCGCGCTCGTGCCCGTAGCCAATATGGCAGCGACTCTTCGGCTGCCCGCTCCCAAAATGGCCGCCGCCCTCCGAGCGGAAGCCTCTCGAACTGTCCGCCAGGAGGCGGCCATTTGGCGAGCGCCCTCGGAAGGAACGTCCGTTGCCTTCCCCCAAGATGGCCGCCGCCGCGCGGCTCACCCACTCT